GACTGTTCAAAGTTACTGTATGGTGGTGACATCCAGGAATGAAGAATTTTCTTTGATTTATCCTTTTTCTTTCTAAAAAATAAACTTCCTCTTTTTCTCCTTTTTGCATTTTGATCTTCTGACATACTACAACACGTTTTTAGAAAAAAAAAAGAATTTAGAATAAATATAAACTAATTATCATATTATTAACTACAATAAATGAATAAATGTGCAGTGCAAATAAATTTTTTTTTAAAAACTCACTCAGAAAACAAATTGTAGAAGGGTATATTTGTGTTATTAGATGAAGGGGTAATATAACAACGTTTCATTGTACTATCTACATCCAATGTTTCTTCTTCAGTCTCACTGTCTTCTGTACCACTAGGACGACCTCTATGGTGGGTAGGATTTTTGTATTTACTTTAATAAAAATAAAAATAGTAATAACTATACATTTGAAATAAAGCGATATACGTGCAATCTGTGTAAAGTAATTCACAATTATTATTATTTTATTAATAATATAAATCATTTTTGTCTTAACATTTTCAACACCATTTATTTAGAAATGGTACTCGTTATTCATAAATGTTTCAAACAAAGATATTAGATTGGTTTTTAGTATTTACTAGGCATACATACTACAAAGTATTAAATAAACTAAAATAAATTATAACCTATAGTAAATTAATAAGATAAGTTGGTGTTTATTATTTTTTTATAAATTTGAAGTCTTTTCATTTACATTTTTTATTTTATCAAATTGTGCATTTGTATAATAAAAGAAAAACAACTGAGGTTAAGCAAAAATAAGTTATGCAAATTTTTTTCTTTTTGAAAAGAATTAATTCTAGCATTTATTTCTCATATCAAGTCAAGTTTTAAAGTTGAATACTTGAAATAGTCTATTTGCTTAAACATTTAAAATTCTAGCGTACTCAAAAATTTGAGTACCGACCTTATCTTAATTGGTATTTTTAAAAGAACTATTGGGGTTTCAAGATATTTATATTTTATAAATTTATTTTTCAAAAATAGGGTGAAGTACTTACTCGATTTAAAGAGTATAATATGTTTTCAATTGAGTACTAGCACAACTCTACTTAAGATTGAATCATAATTTTTATCAAGCGGATTGAATATTATTTACATAAGTATAAATATAATTTAATAATTAAAATTTAGTAAGTTTATATTAGGAAGTGATCAAAAAATATATATTATAATAAAATGTCTAATTTAATGAAAAGCATCTAACACTGACATATAGGTGCTTTTAAACTACAAAATAAAATAAAAATAAAAATGTGAACTAAATAAATGAATAAATAAATAAATAAATAAAAATAATTTAAAAAACTTACATTGGAATACTATTGACATCATTATTTGAAACATTTTCTTTGTTTAAAATGTCACGTGTACCCATAATGGATGGTGTAGAAACAGATTTTTGTAAAGGAAGTCTGGCTTGTAATAAACAAGTTTCAACAGCTCGTTTGGCGATTATTTTGTTAAAACCATTCTGTTATTCATATAATGATATAATTAGCTTATAACAAAACACATTATTACATTTTTTATTTCATACCTGGTAGTCAGTCTCATTAAGTGAGTGCGTAGAAGAAGTTCCACTAAACCTGCGACTAATTAGACCAACATTTTTATTCGACTTCTGGCGACGAAATGATGTACTGTCAGAAGTTAATAAATTTGCTGTACTATCTGTAAATGGATCTTCTGTCTCAGATTCCATACTACTTAAGCTTGCACTAAAATAGATACTTTATATAGCCGAGGAAAAAAAAAGAGATTGTTACTTCATTAATACCTTTTTTGTCGTTTTACAATTTTTAGGCTATGCATATGGTTCTTTGTTAAGTCATCTAATGCTGCCCAACTTCTTCTCCGAATAATTTCATTTTCTTTGGACTCTGCACAATGTTTTGCCATATTAAACCAGTTGAAAGAGTTTTCTTAAAAAAAAAAAAAATAGAATAAATCTAAGAACTTAAATAAAATAATGATTTTAAAACATACTACGTTTGACAAATCCAGTTTGGTGTCTTCTAATTGAGTCAAATGTCGAAGATAAATCTGTATGTGTAGGAGAAGAGTTGAGACTGGAAGTATCTAATTCAGACTGACAAAGAGGTTTACTCAATGAAGGACATGATGAACTTAATGTGTTATTTATTCCACAAAAATTTATCATCTATAACATTTAAAAAAAAAATATTACTATATTAACATTTAATTCTAAAAACAAAATGTATCAATTTAAATTACATGTGTCAATCCTAACGTGGCAGAATCACGCATTTGTTGTATGACCTCGTGGATTTCATGTAGTTGTTGTATATTTTCCTCTGCAAAAATGAATAAATTTGAATGAAAAAACAAATTTAATTTTGAATTATAGTATAATTTTAAAATAATAACCAAGGACTGGATAATTTTTTCCAGCTGCTAAATGAGGTGTAACACTGATTGTAGGAACTAGAGTAGTGCTTGGCATTGTTCTCAACACAAAATCAGTTGAATCAATACTATTTGTATCATTTGTTGCTGCATTCATCTGGGAATAATCTGTTACTGTGTCCTCTTCACTATCATCCAGTTCATCTCTTTCAAAATGTTCCATTTCATGTCTTTATAATAACTTTATTCTATAAACAAATTAATACATAACTGTCAGTAATACATAAGTTTAAGTGTAAAATGAGAGCAATTTTAAAATCAAATAAACATATCATGAAAATCTTAATACACAAAGTAGTGTCTGAATAATACATGGATACATGAAATAGATATTCAAAATCTAATTCACAAACCAACTTGCTCATTTTGCATCTAATTTAAACCTAAGTATATCTGAATTATTACTGACTTAAATAGAATTTTACAAAATATCAATGAAGTATAATCGAAAAAAAAATATAGTTTTGACTATCTGCAGCAATGCTTACTATATCCATCATTATTTATAGTTTAGACTTGAGTAAATATTAAATATTTTTGTTATTTAAAAAACACTTATTTTTTTATATCGGTATACTCTTTTTCTATTTACTACACCATTAATAATATTACGTAATATATTGAAAAATCTGTGCTATTAATTAAATAATGTTATTTTCTAAATCAATTTTTACGCAATGAATTTTAAATAAATAAACTTAACAGAACTTTGAACAATATTATAATGGAAAAAAATATCCAACAATTTTTATAATAAATAAATTTATTGATTATTAAGCTAATATGCTAACATAATTTTATCTACATGCCTATTTTATCATGGGTAATTTCACAACTATGTTTCATAAGTTTTAAATTGTTTTAAATAAGCCAACATAGTTTATCAGTACAAATCTAGAAATATCACCCACAGATCATCTAAATACATAGTTTTTGAAGAAAATAAAGTAACCAAAATCATGTAAACATAAAATTACAATATCAACAATAAACATATTTTATAGCCAATAATGTATTTTAGTTTAATAGTATGAATTAAAATTGAAGCTACAGCCTATAACCTAAAAGCTAAATTCTTATTAATATTGGTTGAACACAAATAAACTGTTAAATATATTTCTAGTAATATTAATAGGTATATGTTAACATGTTAAGACTGTTGGATGTATGTGAGCAATTTCTTATTGATATATTTTACACAAAAATATGTGAGAAGTGAAAAAAAAAATTTAAGTTTTTATTTATTTTGTTATTCTGAATTTAATTAACTATTGGGTAAACTAATAATAATGAAGTACACAATAAGAATAAATATAAAAGATACATATAATTGTATAAAACAATTGTATTTTTTATTATTTGCGTGTAGAGAATTTGTATTTATAACTACCTATATTAAGTCGGTTAGTAATGACAACATAAAAAATCTCTTACCATACATAATTTTAAAAAACAGGACAAATTTTTGTTTGAAGATTATTCATTACTCTTCAAATGTAGGTATTATACCTAATAATAATAACTAAACTTAAATTAGAACAAATCATCTATCAACTGGATGTCACTAGATAGAGGATTGCTTTGATAAGAAAATCAAGTTTTAAAATTGTTTCATGTTTTCTAAAACATTATTTTGAATAAAAATGCCTATTCAAACATCTGATAACTTGACAGCAAGTAAAACCATAGTAAACTAGGGTTCTTAAAAATTAATCAGTACTGATATCCAAAACATGATTCATACAAACTAATAAATAATTATGGCATTTAGATCACTCCCTACAATATAAAAACTATATTGGCATTTAAGGTAAAAAGTACAAATACATTTTGATAAAATAAAAAATAGGAAACTACTTTTTATATAATATTTTAAAGCAAAACCTTATCCTTTGATCAATATTTAGCTTGGTAATTTTTTTTTTTTTTTGAGATATCTACTAATTCTAGGCCAATCGAATTTTAAAAAGCAAAAAATAATAGCCAAATTATAAACATTAAATAAGGAAGATTCATACGATCAGCTACCGTAATCCACTGGATCTGCTTATATTTATTAACTCCTCAGACGATAGAACAGGAATCGGAATTTAGTTCAAGACCTACATTTACATAATAGGTGTGTTGGTCAACCCCGGAAGGTCTAGGACATTGACTCATCAGTTGTACAGACTAAATAATGAATAAACTGGACAAACATGTAGCGGCCGTACAAATTTTACCTTGTTATTCAGCAAATAGGTAACATATTAATTCTTGTTTCGCGGATCGCAGATAAAAAACAAAACACAAACAACTACGCTTTATACACTCTAACTCAATAATCGTGATGACAGACTGCCATTTTGATACTTTATGTTCATAACAATGAACATTGGAACGAAATTGATATAGAAAAAAAATAGAATTATTTAACAAACAGACGTCAGCAACGTTTTAAATGTGATAACAATGATAACGTTCAACCAATGACTGTTGAATACTTTTATCACTTAAATCACAGAAGATAACAACTATTCTGAGATATATTTTGTGATTATATGGTAGAAATTAGAAAATATAGAATATTTTTTACCTATCTTACCTGAGCTTAACAATTTTTTTTATATCCTGGCCGTGGCCGTGGTCCGTACTTCGTGGCCTGTGCCTAATATTCTTGTCTAAGCGTTCAAGTAATCAAATATTATTTACAAGTTCACTTTTTACATTTTTGCATTGCATTAGTTTATTAATTATTATATTACCTGTATAATATTTGTCTCAATACTTATATAAATAGGTACATGCATTTTTAATAATCCATTGTTAAATTCTCTACATAGGTTGTTATTTGAAAAAACCTTGCTAAAATGTTTCAAATTACAAGACATAGTGCAAAATTATTTAACACAAATTTCGTAAGCCAAATAGACATAACTAATTTATTCTTACCACTGATTAATAAATAATGATCAATCTTAAAATTATGCTTATATTTTTGATTGTATAGAGTGCTTTAAGAAAATATGCAGATACTCCTAATGTATCAACTTTAAAGGGTGGTGAAAATATTTTGTATTCGTCATTACAAAAAAAATTTCCTCAAGCCAAAGAAATTAAAATCAAAGATATTTCAGGTAATTATATAACATTACGTTATATCTTAAACTTTAATTTTGCATCACTACTTTTTTGTGAATTATTGTTTAAATAATGTACAATTTATAGTTTGAATAGGATTTTTTTGAACATTTGTGTAGAATCACAATATAATTTTTACCCACTTTATTCAAAATAATTTCACAGGAATATTTTTATTGATTTTCTCTTTTTATAGTTAAGATGCTGATGTCAGTGGGTATCTAAGGGAGCTGCAGGGCTTTGCCCCCCCCCCCACCTTCCCCCGAAAAAAAATCTATGAAATTAACTACAAATACAAATTTGTATAATTAGTATAGGGACCCAAAATCTAAAATAAAACCTCAGCATCAATATAATGAACTTATGGAAGACCCTAGTTAAACCAACTCTGTGTAAACACCCCAAAAAGAAAATCTTAGCTACCATTCCTTTGGCTTTTGTTAATATCATTCTATTTTAATCTTTTTTTCTAATGACTTTAATTAATGTCATATTGTGATACATATTTTTCGAAACAAAATTGGTATGTAAGATTCAAAGAAGATTAATACTAACTATCACTTTTCAATAATTTGTATTTTTTTTTTTTATCCAAACAATAAAATTTAAAATACCTATTTTACCATTAACTATCTGTCCCTTAATTACATAATTATAATACATCTAATTATTATTTTATAATAATACTTAACATTTTGAATTTAAACTATAAACGTGTATTTAAAATATTTTTAGGTGGTTGTGGTGCAATTTTTGAAGTATTTATTTCCACAACAGAATTCAAGGGAATGAGTATGGTAAAACAACACCAACTTATTAACGAAGTAAGTATGCACCTAATTGTCATTGATATTTATTATAAACCAGAGATGTATACAGAAAAAAGTTCTAAGAGGTGTGTTTATAAGTATATTCAATTTCAAATTAATCTTAAATAACAGTGTTGAATAACATTTTTTTGGGAAATATTTTAGGGTGTTAAATCCCAAACCCATGTTTCCCATTCAATTTATAATTTATATGCCTGATCGAATACAAACCTACACTACTCTAAGTATATTAACAATAATATGGTTATGATTCAAATAACCCTAAAAATATTTTTTAAATATATATTTATTTATGGAAACCCCCATTTTTTTTTACTAAAAACTCTTGTTTTTTATAGCAAAAAAAAATACTAAAACTCACAAGTTACTCACCAACTGAAAAGTTTGTTATATTATAGTATTTAATATATTCAATATTGTGTCACATCAGTATACTTATACATTTTGAACATTATAAATTTAATTGAACTATTTTGAAAAAGTGTTCTTAAAGTTAATTATAAAATTTAATTTTGTTTGTTTCAGGTTTTAAAAGATGAAATTAAGTCAATGCATGGAATAAGAATACATACAGAAATACCCGTTGAAAATAACAAATAGAACTAATTATGTATTATAAAAAGAAAATAGTTATTATAGAATAGAAAAGACTTTTCTGTTGTATACTTTTTGTTCACTAGGGATATGCTTCATGTGTGGAGGCTATTAGCTGTTTTATATTCATTATTTTTGTACCATTATTATAGCATCTATTCTCTGTCTCAAAAGACAACAATCACTTTTTGAATGATGCAATTGGCACTTCCAGAACCACCTGATCGCTGATAACTCAGGGTTGTTGGTTGGAGAAGCAAACCACTAACAAAAATCAGTTAGCCGACAAATTATTCTTTTTTAAGTCGGTATATATTATTTTATTAAAACTCTAAACTTAAAATTTAAAAAAAAAACATATAACCTTATCTATACTTCAGAATTTTTTCAATACATGTATACATGTCAATTGTGCAATAAACATATTTTAGGAATTTGTTATAAATGTTGAATTATATAGTAATATGGGATATAGACAATAGACATACAGTGACACTGCGGTTCATTCAAAATTAAATATTTTATACAAACCCTACTAATTTTTTTCTTATAAGACCTTTTAAATTAAAAGTGGGCAAGTTAATGAAAAGTATTAATATAAGTATTTAAAGTAAATTTACTATTTGAGTATAATGTTGACTGCTCATTAGGTACATGAAAGAGAAGTTACTCATTAGTGACACATTGACACTTTCAATGGGGATATTTTATTCTTAAGATTCAAAATATAAATACAATATTACAATGGATCCAGTATGTATTAAAAAATCTAATCTGTCAAAATGCCAAATCGATATTTTCAAATTAGATTTGGTGATGCATTCTCAACTATAGCCTATAGGTACCTAATGTCCAACATATCAACTATTTTCCCACTAAGGAGAAACTACCCCCTGTTCTTTATGTGACTATCTTGCGGCTGAATGCTGATCAACCTTCTACTCTGACACCTTGGTTGCTCACTGCATACATGACATATTATTATACGGTAACTACCCAAATATCTATTCCTTTTTCATCAACAATCAAGTACCTATATACAATTAACATGAAATCGTGGTCTTACTCGGGCCCCGCCCTCTGTTAAAATCCGAAAGACTTCTCAAACATAGACAATTTAAATTAACGTGTCTACTTTTACATAACAACATTACGCAAATATTGCAATAACAATAAATATTAAATACATACAAAATGCACACCAACATTAAACTTTGTACTTACAAATCCCTAAATGAACATGTAGGCATACATAGACATATATCCTACAGGCTACAATTAGGGGGTAAGTACCTACGAGCTGCCAATAGGTAATACAAAAAAATCCAAACATTTCAAAATAACTCATCACTAAGAAAATTAATAAATCCCCCATTTAACCACACGTCCACACAATAGGCAGTGCATATTAGGTATACGACCTACCTACATTCAGATCTCGTGATGAAATCCGTCCAAGAAGAAGAGACAAGTGAAGGGCAAGTGATACCGCCAAAACTTACCTAAAGCTTTGGAAAAAAATTTAAAATTTATATTGGTTCCGTCAGCTACTATTTATAATATGTAGTTAAACACATCGATTCCACCGGACACCCCTCGCCACCCTTGTATAAATATTTAATTAAATAATTTTTAAATGTATAATCTATTTAGAATAATTAAAATAAATTGATATAATAGACAATTTTATAATTATAAACTATAAATATTAGTAAAATAAATGTATTGACTCGTATCTGTAAAATTGTATTACAACCGTTTTCCCAGCAGTTTAACCACCCACCCGAACTTGCATGTAAAAAATCTAGCAACCCCAGCGATTCCCGGTAATTGCCCAATGACCCAATGTTGACGTCTTAATTGCAAATGGTATCGTGCCCTGCTAGACATAATATATAGGCATATAATAATATGAACTAAATCCCGAACAAAAATTCAATCCATATACTAAGTAGGTATCAAAAGAGAGGTACCTATATAGAGCTTTAAATTCTAAATACTGTCTACTTCCGTCAAACGATACAATATGTACATAATTACTCTTAGGTAGGTAATCACATTTTATTATTGCTCTTACTAGAAGAAATCTACCAAACAGATTGTAAATATCTAGTAAATCCTCCCATCCTCCCCAGTTATCAGATTAGATATTGACAGGACGTGATGCTAAAGATACCTGCTATAATTATAATAGTACCGTTTTTTTTTCATGGTATCGAGAACCGAAGGGAGAACTGCTGTTCTTTACTTGTGTTTTACTTTCCCTCCGGCCCCCATCGTTTATTGTAAATAAATAAAATACATTACAATGATATATATACGAATATAACAGCCCTCAAAATAAAAAAGTCCTCAAAATATAACAGCCCTCAGTTATCTATAGTACCTATCTATAGCCGTACAGGCGTTGAACTATATATTGTTAAATAATAAAATGTAGGAACCTGTAATTAGTAAAAACAATATCAATTCATTGTCTCTCATTGTCTCTCATTGAGGAACACTCTCCTTCTCCTAATATATTATTGAACTAAGACAATATAATATAATACCAATAATACACTTGTGTTAAAATAATATTAAAGATTATACCATTATTTACCTTACATTGAAAATTTTATTTTGCCCCCCCCCCCACCATAAAATGTTGGCACCCATGTATGAATGCTTCCAACAACTCCACGAGTTTACTGTTCCTAATCATACCGAACTACTGGAAAACGTCCAAAAATCTAAAAATACCGCCTGGCATAAATTGTGAATCCTGCGGTTTACTGCCGGTTGATCTAATGTATACTCACGTACCTACCTATTATCTAGTCGTGGTATCATGATGAACGAACTAGCACCGCAGGGCGGCGAGCCCTTTTCGATTCGACACGATCGATTTCGTAACATTTTAAAATCATCTGATTGGGATGAATTCACCAAGTCGATAGACGACGAACAGAAAATACAGTTCGTGTACGAACGACTGTACGTACACGGACAGGCTTCCGGTGACTGTAAAAATACTGAAGACGAACCGGCAAGCTACAAACGCGGAGAAAAGGCTTTGGAAATGAAAAAATCCGGGAATGATTATTTTCAGAAGTCGGACTATCGAAATGCGTTGAACTGGTATTCTTTAGCTGTGCTCCACTGTCCTCAAACCAAAGGTAATTAATTACATAAATATAGGACTTTTTTTGGCCTCCCTAATGTTTAACACTGTGATTCGTTTTGGCAGATTGGAGGATACAACTATCGATTGTCTACGCCAATCGATCGGCATGTCTATATCATTTAAAAAATTACGACCTGGCCATTTCGGACATACAACGGGCGCTCGACAACGGGTATCCCAAGGAACTACGATACAAAGTTTACGATAGGTACTTTACACGTGTTATATATTAATAAATAATATTCCTTATAGACCTGTCAACTGTCGGTAATATTTTTACCAATGTATTACCTAGGTACATAGATACGTATTTAGAATTTTGAAGCCAAAGTTATTTTGTATGCCCTCTCACGATTCTAAAGCTGCTACGTACTTTTTTAAGTATATTTCTCATTTTACACGTGGTAGGTACCTATTGCCTGTTGGCAAAGGCAGTGGGAGACATAAGTGCCAAAACAAGAAAAACAAAAAATAAATCATTTCTTAAAAAATTTCTGCAGAGTGCAGATATACCTTATAAATTTATTATCTGATTATGATAGAGCGTCAGAGTTTTTGTGTTATAACTTATAAATAACATTACATTTTTGGTATGGCAATACCTCTTTAGTAAGCATTCGCATTTTTTGTAAGCTATCCCGAAAATATATTCTACAAAAATAATTATAGAGGCATTTCATTTAACCAGCAAAAATACAGATATTTAAGAGAAATAATCAGTTGATAAAAAAAAAAATATATATATATAGTGGTTACATTTTATACATTTTAGAGATATACCTAAATTTATTCTAATTTCTAGTACGTATAGCTGTATCATCAAGGCATTTGCTCAATTCTTATTATTAATGTAGTATTGATGACTTAATTACAGAGTGAAAACATATTTATTTATGAATTCTTCTCCTTATTCAAACTAGGAATAATAAAATATCTGGGAAATGTGGGATTAAAAAATCAAATGGTTTAAATGGAAAATAATTTCTAATACCTACAAAAATGTTCATTTATTTTTTATTTATATTAGCTAGGTGCCTAGGTAGGTAACCTACCTATACTTATTATTTCATCGTTATTCCATAATTATTTCGATTTTCCATTCGATTAACACGTGAACTGGGGTGAACTGGGGTTCATTGCTTACTGAAACTGTGTAACTTTTTTAATTTTTAAGATAGAGATACTAAGGTGAGTTAATCCACCTTGATAAAGACTTGAATTGGAGCTCCTTTAAAGCTTATGATAAGTGCTTAAACACTTGTAGTATACATTAGTTCTACAGAACCGCACTATTCGTATTTTTTAACGTACCTATATTAGTGTTTACTACGATTCTGTGATTATTTTTTGATTTAATGTTTGCTACATTGGTATATTTAATTGAGCATACTTGTCTGCATGGAAAACAAAATGATCCACTATGTATAATTTAAAGATATTTTTAACAAGCTTTAAAATGAGCCCCAGTTAAAGTCTCTATCTTAAATAATTACAAAGTTATAACAGTTTTAACAAACAATGAGCTGCAATCATGTGGTAATCGAATGGAAAATTGAAATTATCGATGAAAAAAATTACTCTAGGGAAACACACACACACGCATAAGTACACATTGCTACATCGCCACATCGGTATATTAGACAAGTATTTTATTTTTGAATGTGCAATATTCACCCCTCCGTTGTACAAATCTAAATCCCACACCTATTTGACGCTTAGATAAGGTACCTAGGTATATCATATAAATAGGCAAAGGTGGGAGTTAAGTTAATAAATGAACACGGCGATATCTGTAAGTTATACTTATAAGTTCATATAGTTAACAAATAATACATTTAACTAGAGCCAAGTTTAAAATTAATATGGAAAAAATATTCACTTAACTCAGTAAATTATTTAGTCTACTGTTAATTGTTATTGTCGTATATGTGGATTACATAGAGAATATTTTGTATTTTTGTGAGGTTTTAATGATTAAAAATAAAAAATATTACGTATCCAATAAGACCACACATCATACTATAATATTAAACATAGAAAAGCGCGGTGCTTGCTAGCCATGAGACAGTTGAAATCGGCATTGGAGTCGTTTAGGACAACAATGCAATCTCTGGACGATTCGCATTTGTCGTCGAACGAACGGAGCAAACGACAGCTGGACGTACAGATCATGCTGACGATGATGGATAAGGAGAAGCACACGAAGAACGGTAAAGCGAAAATATACCTATACAAATAAATATTACAGTTATAAATGTACACAGCGTTATATTACGTTATTTTCGTTGTCCGTACGAATCAATGTACATAGAGCTCATGGAGAACGGTACATCGAAACCGGAGGAACCGGAAGTGCACGGTGGACGGAGTGATGTATATCCGGCGTTCAGCAACGCAGTGTCCGTCGAATACAACGAGACTGAAGGAAGACACGCGGTAGCCGGAAGTGACGTGCCTGTCGGAAAAGTGCTGCTTGCCGAGCGTGCTTACGCCTCAGTCCTACTTCGCGAGTACAGTCATTCGCATTGTACCAACTGTTTCGTCAGGTACCTATAATACGTAACCGATTTTTGTCTTTCGGCAGCACCTAATGTTATAAGTTTATAACTTATAAATATAAAATATTTTATACATTATCAATATTTATCGTCCATTTTAAATACCAACTAGTATTTATCTATATATTATACTATATATTTATTTAGTGTAGACACTATTAGACGCACAGATATAGATTCATCTATATATATATTTTTGACATGATCTATTTTTTTTTAATTAAAAAATGAATTACCACCATAGGCGTGTCCACGGGTCTTGCCTGTCATGCACAGGCATGACCTACAAAATTTGATCTAAATTAAAAAAATTAATTTAAAATCTTTAAATTCGAGGGTCATATCCCAATACTATAACAGAATTTTTTATTGGCGGGGGAGGGGGGTGTAGTTTTTCTCTCTCCTGGATATTCCACGGTTGTGCATGAACTGCGAATGAGGTCTGGACACGCTTATGATTACCACAATAATGTAGAAACTTGAATTTTTCACCAAATATTTGCATTATCATTTCCTTCACATAACAAAATTTTGAAAATACTAATTAAGTAGTATAATTTTAATTTGATATAATATTATTATTATGTAAGTATCTTATGTATCTCAAAAAAAATTTTTTTTTCAAAACGGGTTGAAGATCACCGCACTATTTATCTTTTATAATAGTATTTACCTACTTTATTATTATTTATGTATGCTACAGGCTGGTGGCGCCTCTGCCTTGTCCGGATTGCGAAAGAGTGGCCTTTTGTAGCGAGTTTTGCAAAAGGAGCGCCTTAGAGTCGTACCACGCTGTAGAATGTTCGATATTGCCTGCGCTCTACTCGGCTGGTGTTTCTATAACGTGCTTGATTGCACTTCGAATTATCACTCAACGGCCGTTGAAGTATTTCATTGACCTACGACCAAAGTTGTTGAATCACGTAATTGCAGTTTGTTGATTATAAATGTTATAATTTATAAGAGTTTGTAGGTGGACTACGTTTCTAAGCGGGCTGTAGTGGGGGATATGGGCCAGATGGGGTACTTGGGTTTTCACTTTTCTCCTTTTTTTTTTGTTGGAACCGACGACGCCGCGGGAGCAGCTTTTACATTCTTCGGCGAAGGGTTTTCTCCACCTTTAGAAGGGGTTGCAAACCTTTTTGGGGTCAAGTGCCAAAATTAAAAAAAAACATTTTTAAAATATAATTGTGTGGTTCTCTCTCCCCAAAATGTTGTTGTTACTGACAATAAGAAAAAATAAGCAATAATTCACATTTTATCACGCGTTTATTGGTCAATTTTTATTTTATGAAATACAGACAAAATATTTTAAATAGTTTTGATGCGCCATTGAAATTTGGTCAACGTGCCATTTCTGGCACTAGCGCTATAGGTTCGCCACCTCTGACCTATAGACAGTATAGACACTATCCCCAATTTGCTACCTTTCAGCCTTTGTCATACAATCCAATCTTTCATCAAATGTATTATATTATAGAATATAGATAGTTATAAAATCTGTTATATTGTAGTACAAAAAAAAAATTATTATTGGTCAAAAGAGGAGGTTTATCTCAATAATCGCTCATACATACATATTGAAGTGTTCCCTTGATATCTGTGAAAATGTTCCGGCCTCCCCCCAACATGTTGCTGGCCCGTGCGGCCGTGCCTATAGTATCTGTGTCTTAATACGCCCGGGGGGGGGGGGGGGTGTAAGCCACTCTGCAGTCATGTTTAATGCAATAATGCTTACCTATGACGTACCTATAGCCTACCTATAATTTATGCATAATTCACGATTTTCCAGACGCAGAGGCCGCGTGGTAAACACGAACCTGACAACTACGTCAGCTTATACGATTTGGTCACCCATCGGGAGACGAGAACTGTACAGGACATATTACACAGAACGCACGTGGCTGCTTTTTACTTGTCCTGCCTGAAAAGGACAAACTATTTCGGTGCAGACGGCACCACAGACTGCCGACCAACCGATGACGAGTTATTCATCGGAAGTCTGTTGCTACATCACCTGCTGCTGCTCCAATTTAACGCTTTCGAAGTATCCGAACTCCGACAAATTGGTAACGATCAAGAGACCGCGTTCATCGGTGGCTCTGTTTACCCGACCCTTGCTTTGCTGAACCACTCTTGCGACCCATGCGTTGTCAGGTATGTATGCATTTGGTACTGTACGCTTACTTGGTGTAACTGGTGACTGATGTCCACTTTGTTGGTTATAGCTATACGCTAGAGGCTAGAAGACCAATTGGTGATTAGTTAATTTTTCGAAATGTGTAGGTACCACCGAGGAACAACGGTTGTGGTACACAATATCCGTGAATTACACGCCGGCGAAGCGATTACAGAAAATTACGGTCCAATGTTTATGTTCCACCCAAAAGAAGAGCGTCAACAGACACTTATAAATAGGTAGGTATTCACCAATACCATCTCAATAATAATTCATCCCTATCGATCTATGATCATGGAGTAAATTAAATTGGTATTATATTCATAGATTAAATATTTTTAATATAATTTGGAAAATTAATAATCAGTTAAAAAATGATTGATTTTTGAAATTTAGTTAGGTTTAAATGCTTGACATATTCAGATAATAAATAAATTCTCCAAAATGTCATCATCAATGTTTCTACCGTTTTTAAATTTTGTGTAGAATAAAAAACATTTTAACAAGTTAGTTAAATAGCTACTAAAATCTTGTTTTATGGTCATGAGTGACCATAATATGTTTATTATGTTTGACCATAGTTGTATTTTTATATAATTTAAAATTTATGTAACTGAAATAACAAATTATTCAGTAGCTGTAGACAAACATCTTGGTCTATCTGACACTGCCAATTAATTATCTTATGGATTATCCTCAACAAAATATTATAATCAATTAATTGAAATATATTGGATTTGTTGTAATAGATATTGGTTTGAATGTAATTGTATTGCCTGCTGTCAAGATTGGCCAACTTGGGAACTGATGAAGACAAATACATCACTCAGGATCAGGTGTATACATTGCAAAAATGCTATCACAGTGACAACAGAATCAATGGAGTTCGCAGTACATTGTATGGTTTGCTCAAAAACTACTAAACTGTTACCAGTTTTAAAAGTTTTACAGGTATCTGCTGTTCTATTACTTTTTAACAAACGATATTAATAAGAAGAAAAAATGTTTTTTTAAGGATACAGAGGATAAATATATGCAAGCTAAACAGTTGATGGATAAGCACAATTATGAAAAGGCTTTATCAGAGTTCATAGCACTTTTATCACTATTACAGAAGCACCTGGTGCCACCTTTCAGAGACTACCATCTATGCCAGCAAGGAATAAGACAGTGTATGTTAACATTTGGAAATAAATTATAGTAATTTATTTTTGAGTAAGACACATAATTTACACAAAGCTTAACTGTAAAATATTCATATTAAAAAAATATAATTATGTGCAAAAAAAAAGTTATACATATATTATATATAAAATAAACTATAGTTTACAATAATTCATAAAACACTAGTCTTGTACCATTCTCCTAAGTGTAGCTTACATATTTACCTTAGGTTAATATTTGTCAAAATAAACATTTAAAAAGTTTAAAAATAAGTCATCAAAGCTAAATGTTTGTTTTATAAAATTGTTACTCAGTTAAAGATTAAAAAAAAAGAATAATAAGCTGTGTTAAGGGGATTTAAGTTTTAACAGCATGACTTAGCTGGTTCAGCCTCAATATAGTTATTAAAATCAATGCTAGCTGAATGATGTGAATAGCCACTTTTAATGCCATCCCAGCCTTCTTCCATTTGGTATTCACCACTTTTTATCCTCTGATAAATCTAAAATAAATAATATTTAATTAACAATAGATAATACAACTATTTTTTTTTTAATTCATTGAAAGGCCATGGCAATAAAATAGTAATAACACATGTAGTATAAATCATAGTAAATTTGTGAATAAATAAATAAATTACTTCTTGGGTAATAGCAGAAAATGCCAATTCAACATTAGAACCAGTTTTTGCAGATGTTTCAACAGTGAATATATTATGTTCTGCACCAAATTGTTTGGCTTCTTCTTCAGTCACTTCCCTCTTACCAGCACCATTATTTACCTATGCAAAACAAACAAATATAAGATTGGCAGTAATTTTAAAATTTCCTAAACTTAAATAATTCAAATTTAGTTAAATAATTTTCAATTTTAAAAACATACTGGGTAAATAATATTTGTAGGTTGATTTCATTATTTATTTTTTTATCTCCATAACCAAATATTTTGTCATAGTAAAATTCTCAAAATACTGTTACACTTTCAATTAAATAATATTAGGTACATAATTAAGAAATCTTCCACTCTTCCACTCCAGTGTAGTATAAATATAAAGTAGATAACCTTGTAACCCTTGTAATCAGAATTAATTTTTACTCAATTTAAAATAATCTACTATCAGGGTTTAATGGAACATACATTATAAATTATAATTCATAAAGGCAATTAGCCTTAATAAAACACTTTTGTATATAAAAGACAATATTTAATTTATTTTATCATGAAATTATTAGAAGAAAATTTAGAGTGAAACCAATATGGTCTTGTAATTTGGCATTACATTTTTAGAATGTATATTTGTATAAAAATATTTTAAACTTACCAAATCTAACTTGCACCCAACTAAGACAAATACGGGTCGATGAGGTTCAATGTGTCGTTTGGCATCATTCATCCAAATAGGTATGTGATCAAAACTGGCTCGTTTTGTTATGTCATATATTAACAGAGCACCTACTGAATTGCGGTAGTAGGATTTTGTAATTGATCTATTATAATTTATAATATACAAAATTTAACCATGAAGTCTAAAGAACAATAGTAAAAATAAAAACAATTCTTACTCACCTAAATCGCTCTTGGCCAGCTGTATCCCATAGCTGTAATTTTATTCGTGGACCGCTGGGTATTTGTATGGTTCTAGCAAAGAAATCGACGCCAACTGTTGGATCAGACACCTGGTAAATAATAATAAAAAAATAAACTTATGGAATGAACAACATAGTATTTTCAACAAAGCTTTTACCTACCTCCACAAATTTACCATCGTTGAAAAATTTTAACAATGAACTCTTGCCCACTGTACTGTCACCGATCAGTATCAAGCGGAACTGATAATCAAACATCAGGTCAGCCATATTGTCGAATGTTGACGAAACTAAGAACGTGCGTTCGTCTTAGTCAGTTCAGAAAATACAATCGTTCTAATTCAACTCAATCGGATGACTAATATTGAAAATTATGAGTCGATTGAAGTACAAAATTCTCGACAAAAATACAGAACAACTTACGTAACCATCACTGAACTCGCTGGTGTATACAAATTATTATACTGTCGACGGTCGATTGTTTCTTTGTACGTACACATGTGAATTAAAAATAACTAATAACTGCGACGTAGGAAGGTAAGAAAAGTTGTCAATGATTTTTCCCCTTTATCTAGTGAAGTTATGCATTATGCAAAATATATCGCGAGAGTCGAGAGATAATACTGTTTGGTTCGTCCTTGTGGCCAGTAGTTGTTCTTTAATGATATTATTATTATTTATTTTATCATCTCTTTCCCCTCTCACCAACATGTAATCGCACAAATTAGACCTGTGAATGTTTCCCCATCATCAGTCGTCAGCTGCTGCTGCTGTTTCTTCTTATTTGACGATTGTCACGTAAAACCGGGTAACTGGTATACTTATTCCGGCGTAATAATTTTCTAATAAGTTGGCGGGCAACACTTCGATTACACTGTACAAATACTTATTATCGGGGCTCGGGAGTCGGGGCTTACAGCAATACAGCATTCTAAAAAAATAAGTGCTTAAAAACATAGGTATAAACACTCAAACAAGCATTTAAAAACTTAAATTGAAGCAAAAATAATTATAAAAAAAATAATAAAATTCTAACTAAAAAATCAAACTTCACTTTCGAAACTTTAAGGATTTTCTGAAAAATAAAATGGAAACGATATTTTCAAATAGTTGAAAAAAGTTGATTAATTAATTAAATCTTACCGTCATTTTTGCATTAAATGATCAAATTTTTTCTGAGGTTTTCATATACAAATGACCTTCTGTTCGATATATGTTTTGTTTTATACGCTGAAAATGACCGTTCCGCATTTATTGATGTAATAAGTGCATCCCTATCAAAAACAACTTTGCAGGAGAAAACCATACAAAAGTAGAAAAACTGGTCAAAAAATCAAAAACAAATCAGGAAAACTGGAAATATGCATTTTTTTTAAAAAATCGCTGGAAAAAACAATAAAAGCACTTTCAAATATCACAATTAAATGTGCTGTAACATGACTTACGCTTCCATTGCACTCTGCTACGTTATAAGTCAATCTAAAAAGATAAGCAAATGCTTGAAGTCCCGAGCCCTGCTTATTATAGTATAGTCCAGAACCTCGACTAGACACTAACTTCTCATTTATTACATTAATTAGGACTCTAGGTCAATGTTTCGGTGCCATCGAGAGACACCGCCGAAAGTTAATCGTTTTACAATAATTTACGTAAGTACCTACTCAAAGTTAGTTGAGCTCACCCACTCTGGTCTGTGACGTATTGACTGAAAATCTTCACCGATATTTTGCTTCAATTTACCAGTTAGACTTTTTAAACATAAATACACGAGCTAAAGACTAAAGGCGAAATATGAATGAGTGGGACAACTACGCACAAGTTGTCCTAACATTTTGAAAATTGGCGACAAACGAATAACGATAGATAGTTATTTGAGAATCCGCATATCAAAAGAAATGACCTTTATGACTCACTTTTCGTTCTTGAAGTTCGACCTATGTTGTCCTACAACAATGGATGGCTGCAAACCGCGAAGAATTCAAATACTTATTAGTTATTAGATTATATTATATTTTTAATAATATATTATAAGGCTATAATTTTTGTTGTTATTTATATATGTGCATTAATGCATTACCTATTGAATATTTTTATACATATTATAATATATTCCTTAATTTAATGGCACGCAGGAAAAAAATTAAAAATTGGTAAATTGTTGGTATATAAGGTACAATCTACCATCCTTGTTCTATAATTTTGAAATCGGTATCAAATGATAGCACGTTATTTTTGAGAATTTGGTATAGAATGTCGAAATAATAATATATCAAGCATTTAATAAATATACATCTATGTCCACTATATTGTATATTTAGTGAAGTTGGCCAACCCAGGTTGTCTTGAAATTGGTATCAAACGATCCCCGATTTAGTTATTTGACATTTGTAAATTCAATTTTAAAATTTGAGTCAACCTTTTTTTCATCAAACTCATTTCCAGAATCCGTTATAAGATTAAAATTTTTTTTTCATCATTATACGTCGTATTGGCGCACTATTTTTGGATATTTCTGACTATGTGTTTTTGGTGTATTTACTTTGCAAATACACAGAGTGTACGTAAAATAATGTCATAGGATGTCAGATATCTTAATGAGAAAAATACTTTAAAAATTTCGTACTTTTGTAGCATAATCTGAATTTAGGGGTCATCTCAGTGGGAACTTTCCTACTCAAGCCCACTCAGTGCTCTCCCGATATGAAAAATATATTGTTTTGTGCTATTATTTTACATTTAAATGTAAAATATTTTTAGTAGTAATAACGGCAAATCCGTGATCTTCTTAAAGACTAATGGTACTAATGGTACTCTCAAAAATAATTATACTTGAACTGAGTCGTTAAAGTAACTACATTTGAAACATTAAAAATATTGTTAACGACCCAGCGAATTAGATCATAAGAATTTACAGAAAGCGAAGGATAAAAATATGCATATTGTGGCATTTTGAAGTTACTACTCTAATCCAAACATGACTGAGTCAAAGCAGTTCTCGTAGGTTTATCATCTTTACTTTGACATACTTATAAATCATAATGTGTATACATAAATGTACAATAGGTATGTTTTGTGTGATGTACAGTTAAAGAGATAACATACAATGCATTATTCAATACTCTTATAATATGAAATGTGGAGTTAATTAAATTATTTTTCATTTTTATAATTTTAGTTTAATTTAAATGCTAGTAAGTCTTAAACTGAATAATGATTATCATCATTCATCACTATCTGAACCTCTGTTGCTTTCTTGTTCACTATGATCAGTGATTGAAGAGTCTGAATTGTTTTCGCTGGCTCCTCGTTCTGAGCTTTTCTTACTTCGCATTTCAACATCACTGTTATCACTATCTGATCTAGCTTCACTAGACACACGTTTTCCTTTACGCTCCTCTTCGCTGTCACCACTTTGAGATGATTCTTTGCCCTTGGTATTATTTTCGTCATCAGATTTGTCACTTTCATCACTTCCAGAACTAACCTTATGGCTATTTGATTTCTTCACACTAGTGTCACTATCAGAATTTAGTTCACTAACAGCTCGCTGACGTTTATTTTTTTCTTTGTCACTATCAACTGTTTCACTGTTAGCACGTTTAGAATTAGCTGTAGCTACACGTTCTTCATCATCAGAAACATCACTATCTGAAACTAAATTGTTCTTTTTAGAATCACCTGTAAATATAAGAAAAAAAATTATTATATAATCATTTATTAAAAACTCATAGATAATAAAACAATTCTCTATTATATTAAATTTTTTAAAATTATATTAAGTAATAATAATAGAAGTTATACAGAAGATTGATAAAATATACTATTTGTATATTATTTTTATCTCTTATTTATCAAGTAAGTTTAAGGAGAAGACTTAGCTATCAGGGAAGGGTAAATTCAGAAATATTCTTATTTAACTTCTAGATGGTGATCACAGACTAAGATATAATTGACAATAAATGAAATTTGCAGCGGTGGTTGGGGGCAGCCACCAAAAGGTTCCTCACACTAGTGGCGGACAGTAATTTTAACTAAAAAACATCAATGTTTTGTCCATCATACTGATCAACCTACTTTTGAATTGCTTAAAATATTTTAGTAAAATAAAATATGGAAACCCTAAGTGAGATTAATGGATCACTAAGCTGAGTGACTTAAATTTTCATGGCAATGATTACAATTATACAGCTTTAAAAACAAATCCGATTTAAGTTGATTTTATCAAAATAACCTGGTTATTTTTTTTTTAAATAGATGCGTATTCATCCATGTTGTTTTACAAGTTTGTTGAAACTACTGATAAATGACATTTTTAATGTATAAGTATTGCTTAATTTTAAATGTATGTTACTTTTAAACTTCTTCTCACAGTCAGTATTTCAAAAAAATGTATACATGGTTATATTAAAATGTACTATGTAGTAGTACATTTATATATACTGGTAATACATTACCAGTATTAAAGCTTTAAAGTTTAAAAAGATTAAAGATTCCATTACCTTTTCTAGACTCATTATCATCATCATCATCATCACTGTCTGCTTTATTTTTTGTTGCTATTTCCTTTGCACTTTCTTTTGCAGCTGGAAAAATATTAAAAATATGTGTAAAAATTATGTTGATTAGATTAGTCTTGAATAAAACAACCATTTTTATTGATTTACTGAGTGAGGTGATTGACTCAATAAAAATTTGATTATCTACTATCAATAATACAACAGATGCAAAATTATTGTTTAACCTGTATGTAAGTTTTAATTTGTATGTAGTATATACACAACAGTAAGTTAAAACCCATAGTATTCATCCAATATTCAACTTTTTTATTTTACGGTAAATTAATCTATTTATTGCTACTTATTTGAATTATGTAAAATTAAGCATTAATTAATTCTCAGTAAACTACACAATAATTTTTACCGAAGAATTTCATTACGAATCATTCAACAATTACCTTGCATTGCTTTTTTAGCGGCTTCTTCAGCTTTAGCTTCTTCTTCTTCATCATATGGCTGCAGCTGTTTTTCTCTGAATTTGTGAACGCTAAATTCTTGTTCATTGATTGGAACATGACGTACAATTAATCTGGTATTAGTACTACTACTTTGTGTACCAATTTTTTGTCGTCTCTTACTTAAACGAACTCTAAAATGTATGTTTATTGTCAGTTGTAATTAAAAAAAAATGTTTATTAAAAATAGTTTAAGCCAAACCTTGTTTCTAATTCATTATAAAATACTCCATCTGGTTGTACAATAAGAAAATAATTTTCCTCGTATCCTTTACTACTCTTGCTCTTAACATTCCAGTTGTATTCTCTGGCCATTTTATATTCATACTCATAATCATCATCATATGGACGTGCTTCAACAGCATCTTCACGGCGTTTAATTATCGTTTCTTCAGATGGTAAAAAGTAAGCTACAAACTGTTCACCACTTTCATCCATTACACCTCTGAAATTTTTCATAAGCTTTAGTTTCTCATGTTTACAAAAGTTTTATCGCACTATTAATCTTGTAATTATTTTTTTATTTTGATAGTTTAAAAATATAGAAGTATTAGTTACCTAATCATAGCTTGAGACATTTCTTCTATTTGAGCTGGAACAGGCCGACCCATTGGAGCTGGGTCAGAGTCAAAGATAACTTGAGCACATGGGAATCTCCAATTCTAATTAAAAATAAATAAGACACACTATTTAAACAATTCTATTACAATTTTCAAAAAGTTCAAAAT